TGCGAGAGCGAGAAGAACGACGAGCCGCCAATGCAGCCGCCCATTCAAATAGCCTACGAGTTGCTGCTGTGAATCGAAATGCTTCATTAGCAAAACCGAATCGTCCACAATGTCCGAACAAAGCGTGTCCAAAACCCAATGTCGTCGATGGGACATGTCAGACTTGTGGTCGTATCTCGGATGACAGTAATATCGTGGCAGAAGTCACCTTTGGAGAATCGTCGTCGGGTGCTGCTGTTGTACATGGTTCTTACATTGGCGCTGATCAAGCTGGTGTGCGAAGCATGGGTCCTGCTTTTCGAAGAGTTGGAGGATCTGAGGACCGAGAGAAGAGCATCAGGGAAGCAAAAGGCTTGATGCAGGGTTACGCGCAGCAGCTTAACGTCAGCGACAGTCTGGTCACTGCAGGAACGCAAGTCTTTAAGCTGGCGTCAAGCGCAAACTTTATCCAAGGTCGTACATTGGCCAGCGTCGCGGCTGTCTGCCTGTACGCTGCCTGTCGAGCAGAGCCGCCGTGCAAGGTTATGCTTATCGACCTGGCGGACTTGGTGCAGCTCAACGTTTTCAAGCTGGGTCGCATCTTCAAGAAGCTCAACGAGGTGGTGCCAATTGGCAACGACGGTCTCATTCCAGTGTATCCGGAGGATCTTATCTGGCGATTTGCAACAAAGATGGAGTTTCACCAAGACACGGCCAAAGTTGCCGAGGACGCTGTTCGTCTGGTCAAGCGAATGAGTCGAGATTGGATGGTCATGGGTCGTCGACCATCAGGCATCTGTGGAGCTTGCCTGCTCATGGCGGCACGAATGCACAACTTTCGACGAACTGTGCGAGAGGTTGTCTACATTGTCAAAGTCACCAATCACACAATCCAGAACCGTCTGCAAGAGTTCAAGGTCACCGAGTCCAGTCGCATGTCGGTTGAGGATTTCTTGAAGCAGGATTTCCTGGAGAGCTCTCACGACCCACCTTCATTTTACAGGCAGTCAGCCGAATATAAGAAGCAGTTGGCAGCGAAGAATAAGAAGCGAAAGAGGCCGACAGATGCTGATGCTGACGACAATGAGGAGGAAGATGACAATTTGGCCGACAAGATTGATCCGCGGTTAATAGAAGGAGGCGCTGATCTTTCGAAGGCTCCTGTTGTCGAATATCGCCGTGATGATGATGGATTTATTATCCCGCCCATACCATCCAAAATCGCCAAAGATCCATCGCTTGTCAACAGGCTGAACGAGAATGCAGAGGATGAAGAAGCCGAGGGCGAAGACACGAATGTTCAGACCCTGGATGGCCTAGTGCAAGAGTTTGGAGATGCGATGGACGAGGAGCTTGCGGAGAACGGGACGCAAGAAACCAGCCAACGAAAAGGCAGTAAGCCACAACTACCCATCAATGAGGAATGGGAGCAGGATGAGCAAGAACTGGAGGGCGTGATTGAGGAGATCTTCAATGATCCTTTAACATACGAGCACGCCATGGCCTACACAACTGCCGAGCAGCGAGCGCGAATTCACACAGTCTGGGCTCTACAGCAACGACCCCAGAAAGAAGTTTCCATGTCGGCCGATGTCACAGAGGATGAGTTTGCCGACGACCCCGAGGTGAACAATTGTTTGTTGTCGCCTGAGGAGGCTCAGATTAAAGAAATGATCTGGGTGAACCAGAACAAGGAATGGCTACGAAAACACCAAGAGAAGGTGTTCCGCAAGAAAGTCGAGGCAGAACGACCGAAGCAAACACGAAAGCGACGTAAGCGAGCTAGAATGGGTGAAGGTCAGACCAGTCCCGCCAGCTCAGCCGCCGAGGCAGCCGTCAACGTCGCCAAAGATCGCGCCTGGTCCAAGAGGATCAATTACGACGCCATCCGCAACATCTTTGACATGCCCAACCTCGGAGGTCCAGGATCAGAAGCCACAAGTCGCAAGACCAGTGTCGCAGGAAGCACAAAAGGCGGTGATGATGCGAGCGAAGCTGCCGACGAGAGCGTTGCTGGCGACGAACCTGAAGCGCCACATGAGGAAGAAGAGTTCGAGGAAGAGGAGTACGATGAGACGCAGAACTTTGGCGATGGTGAGGAGTTTGGTGGTGGAGGTGATGAGTTTGGCGGCGGGTATGATGAGGATGATCCGGAGATGGATGCTGAGTATGGTCTTGAGGAGTATGCTTGAGAGGATTAACAAGGGAATGAGTGAGTGCTGGGATGGTAATTGATACCCATATAGATAACAGGACTGCTGTAGCACAGACGCAAATAAGCGATTGAGGAATAAATCTGTAAAAGTCTTACTCTGTTTGTCCCCTTCGGTGTATTCTCTTGATGAGTTTAGTCCAATCTTAGGCTGGGCGTCCTAAACTTCTACAAGCTTTAGGACAGTCACATCGTGAAGATGTAAGCCACAGCTCAATGTGGAGTCCTTCGGGATGAGATGGAGGCGTGGTTGGCGAGTGTCAGTGGTGGCGCCCCAGAATCTGTTCCCGTATCTCCTTCGCCCTCGCTCACATGAGATTGACACTATCCGGATTACTCATAATACATGAGGTCTACCCAGTTTGAACTGATAGATGACAATCAAGTGACATCGGGCATGTCTATCGATGGGTGTATCCGTACCTGCATGTCCGTAAGTGGTTTGGGGCGTCAACACCATGGCGATCTTCCCCACATGGATCTGTCTCACTTGCATCTCCACATTCGATGTCAGCCCAACCCAAACTATTGAGCCTTCTAATAAAAGACAATCCTTCGACCTTGCTTGTTGTTTAATGTGTCTTCCAAAAAGATAAACTGTCGTTGCAATAACTCAAGTTGACTTGGTGTCGCCCTCCCCCAAGGCCGTGATGACCTCAAGATATCACAACACCAAAAAGGAATCATCTCGATGTACCCAGGACTCGAACCTGGAGCCTTTGCCACCGGAAAGCAACGCGCTGCCATTGCGCCAGCACACCGGGGTGTATTTTTGACGTTCCTGTTGTTAATTAAAACTATACACATGATATTTCGTCAACCTCAATATCTGGTGTTGACCCAAGATTTGCACGTCCAAACCCGCGCTCAGGCCATCACATACAACAGCCAAAGCCCGTATGACCTCGCACTGTCAAAAGCTCACTACCAAATTTGCTTTCTCTACATTCACTTTAGCCTTAGTGGCACGGCTCTGTTATGCTTTGAACTGTCGTCGTTGGGTGGCCGGCGGTACGTACCAAAGTCGGCCGAGATTGGACCCACATCTCGCCCGGTAAGGCTGAGCCATTCCGGGCCGTTCTCAAGCTTGGTTGCCTGAGCGGACAGCAAGTCTTCAATTAATTCTTGAATGACCATGATCTCCAGAAGCAAGGAAGTCTTCTCAAACAAACAAGCCGGGAACGTACCGAGCGCGGCATCGTGAGGAATAATGCCTGCCGGCTTTGGTGCATTGACGCCGCGGTAGCACTTTTTCGTGAGGCATCTTGACGGTGCATGGGATTTGTTTTACGGGGTGATTGATAGTACAGTGATTGGCTCGCGCCTCTCAAAATCAGCGGCGTCACCAGAAGATGCCCTTCAAATTGGCACCGTTCAATTATCTTACTACATGAATAGCAGGATCGTTGACATTGGGGCCCTACTTGCCGAGGGAAGGGCAGCTTCACCAACACCAGAGGAAGTGAGCCATCGCTGAGTGGCGGCGGCAATGGATACATGTTTAATAGCTCCTTTGCTACTGATTGTGCTCTCGCGAGAGAGCATCCGCGCTGGAACTGAAGAGAGGCAGTATTGGCCTTTGAAGGCGGCTCATCATAAGCCGACTTCAGGCAGCACCTTGGAGCAAATTGTCCGTAGGCCATTGGTGACGCCTCAAGAGCGGGCGTCAATTGACGAAAGGGCAATGACTCACTCGTCAGTCAGAGATCATCTATGAGTCAACATCACTAAACTCAAGACCTCTCATGGTGCTGGCAAGCCCAGGGACTAAGTAAGGTTACTTGACACAGGGTGCCAAAATAAACTCATCAAAGAGTACCCTAAACTTATGCTAATTTACATAAGTCGTTTTGTCACTTCGCATCGAGGTCCACCCAGTATACTCTTTTGCGTCCCGTAGGGATGTAATCATCGATTGACGCAAAATTGCCAGACCATAATTCTCACCTTGCACAAAGTTGTGAGTCAGAATGATGACAACAAGGACTTCTGAAGTTAAACAACATCCAAATCGTCGCCGAAGCCACAAGCCTGAGGCGCTTGATGGCCACTGCGCCCGTCACAAGGAGCAGGCCCCGGTGCGCCGTGAGAGTTGTTTGGGCTTTAGACCGATATTGTGTCAAGAAGGATTGGCAGTAACAGGCAGCAATCGACCGGTTGAAAATCCCATAGGCATTGTATCACGTCGTACGAATCGCGTAGCTACTACAGGAGATGTCGCAAGCCGTGATAAACCGGAGGACTCGAACGACGGCCCCACTAAAAATGAGGCCGTCTTGCACGACAGCTTCAATTCACATCAGATCACAGAGAACGACACAGTTACGAAGTATTGAGAACACTGAATGAAATTTTGGTCGCGGCTTTTATCTACCTCTAGACCCATGGACGAAAACACCAGTAACGAAAGACAATTGATAACTTTTTGCCCATATCCGACATCAAGAACATCAAAGCATTAGCGGCATTAGACTTTTTGTTTGTCCCATGCAGGGTCGCTCGCAGAGCAAACACCTGCCCGACCACCTGATTGACTATTACAAGTACAACAAGGCAAGTCGCTGATTCCTCCGATACGCTCACCCGGCTTTTCGACCGGGCTGGAGCTGCTGGGGTATCATCTCCAAAGAAAACATCGTCCCTGTCCCTTGGGGGAGGGGGCGTGAGCAAGCACGCTGTAGACAAGGGTTTCATTCAACCCAAAGAAAAACAATCAAGGAAAATTTGTTAAAAAGAGAGTAGTGTCGAGGCCAGGGATAGCGACAGCAGGCTATGCCGTCCTCGTACGTTTTTGTGCGTGTGCATTGCACTAGATGTGGAGATAGTTCACATCCGAGATGCTTCTGTGCCTCTTGTGGCCGTTGCCAGCTTCGGTGGTGGCCTTTCGTTTTTGAGACATTGACTCAAGGGGGCTGCGTGTGGCGTCGCTCATCTGCCTCTTGTGGCGACGGGCGGGTGTTAGGGGGATGGCAGCTGTGTCGAAGCGGTCCGATTTGAGACCCTTGAGTGCGGTGTAGTTGTAGGGACCACTGAATGCGAGGGAATCCTGGGTTGCCTGGTTGCTCAGGATGAGCTGCTGGTTAATTTGGTTACGGCGGAAAGCTCCAACAGTCTCAGAATTGATATGGCCATGAGCCTGCTTCTCGCTAGTAGCTGTGCTGGGTCGCGCAGGTGTTGATGCAGGATCCCAGTTGTCGCCCTCTTCATCGCCAGAAGAGTCATTTTCCTCCCAGGCGATAAAGTCGTTGAGGTCTAGATTCAGTTCAGCGTCTTCCTCTTCCTCATCCTGCAAGCTAGGCGCGGTTGAGCTCTCGTCGGCGGTGTTGGGTTCAGAGGGGAAGGGGAAGAAAGCCTCAGCGGGTCCCATAACCTGAGCCGTATTGAAGAAGTCACCGAAGGTGTTGGAGGAGAACATGGCGCTGAGCATTAGGTTTGCAGAGTTGCTCATGATGGGTGACTCGGGCCCCTCAGTACCCCAGGGAAAGTTAAATTGTTCGGGGGAGAGGTCGAGTTGGTGGCGCCGGTGAGGCGTAAAGATCATCATCTTTCCAGTGACGGGGTTGAGGACAGCAATTGGCTTCTTGTCGGAACGGTCAAGGTTGTATCGTCCCAAACGGGGCTGGCCACGCTCGGCCTTGACCGGGCTGTCGGCGTCAGAGTCCGAAATGTCGCTCATAGGCTTTGAAGGGCGTCGAGTCTTCCTTCGGACAATGGGTTCGGGTTCATCTTCCTCGGTGGTATCACCATCAGCTGGGCATGTTAGTACAGGTAATGACGCCCATATAGCCAAACTTACTCTCGTAGCCATCCAGCTCGGTGGATTCCTCAAAGCCAAAGGGAATTGGCTGAGGGGTAGAAGCAGCAGTGGCTGGCTGGGAGGCCATTGGAGTGGCAATAGGGGTGTCATCGTCAATTTGTCGGAAGATTTCCTCGGCATCCGAGTCATCATCTTGCTCGCCGTATTGGTTGTTGAAGTCCCAGAAAGATCCCGAGTCGGAAGACTCATTAGGATCGTTCTCAATCTCACGGCGGAAAGCGGGATCCAGGTTGTTTTGAGAAACAAAGATATCAGGGAAGAAACCCTGAATCTCATCCTCGGTGTCGGTAGAGTCAGAGTCGCTGGAAGGCACGTCAAAGTGAACGTGGCGCTCCAAAGGCTCCTCACCAAAGATATTGGCGTCTTGGTAGACGTCAGGCTGGTCCTCATCGTCCGTAACGATGCCTCCCCAGCTAGCAGCGTCGTCGTCATCAATATCCAAGCCCTCTTGCTCATCGTCATCTTGCTCCACTTCCTCCTCCTCTTCTTCTTCGTCATCCTCCTCAATAGTCGGTTGCGGCCGAGGAGCTTGTGGTGGGGTGGGGGGAACATGAGTTTCTTCTAGGATGTTCTCCTCCTCGGCCGCAGCAACATCGTCCTCATCGTCGTCTGAAGAGTCGCTAATATCTTCAACGGCAGAGTAGCCGCCATCGTCGGAGAGGTCTAGGGAAGAAGCAGAAGGAGTGTCGGAGACCCTGCGACGGCGCTGGGCGGTCTTGGTCTTTTTGACCGGGGTGGTAAACTTTTGCTTGAGATTGCGAGACATTTTGGAAATGCTTCAAGATGTTTAGTATACTAGTTGTAATGATCGTTCGAGTTGTCTTCAAAGTGATGTAGAGGATCAAGCTCAGATCGAATGTTTTCTAGCAATGCAATGCAAGACTTGTTTTGTAGTAGATATATGCGTGTATACGCTTTCGAACAACTTCAAGTTGTTTTAATCGTCTTTAATAGAAAGATAAAGGTAGGGAGGTGGTCGGGAGAGTAGAATGGTAGTAACTGTATCAAAGGCCCTTCACTATCGGGCAAGTTGCAGAATCGTTGGTTTCAGAGACAGACTCTCGGTAGAGCATTCAGCTCCAGGAGCGGGAAAGCCTGTAAAGATCAAAGTCGAGAGAGAAGTATTGACTGGTTAACTCGGAGAACTGCTGGACTGCGAGCCGGGACAGGGAAAACAGCCACGGCCCGCAGTGGGCGTTTACAGCTCAGCGACGGCCGAAGGCATGGTTACTCGACTTTGTTCTTGGTAGGGGTAATTCTCTGGGTGATGCTGGAAAATGTCGACTTCGTTGTCTTTTGTGGTTTGGGTTTGGGGTTGGTGATAGAGAAAGAAGAGAGGAAGCGAGGGGGAGAGGAGGAGGAGAGAAATATCCCAAACTTTTTTCGTCTTCTAAGTGGGGTCGATCCTGATTGGGCAAAGTGTCTCGAGGCAGGCAGTGCCGGGGGTTGATTGATGATTGAGTTAGAAGTGGAGTCGATGGAGCGTGCAGTGCGGGAGGGAAGGTACCTATGTGCTAGTCTATTTTAGGAGGGACAATACCGTCACCGCTTTTTGCAGCCTTAGACGAAGCCCAACGATAGGAAGACGATGTACAAGGAGAAGCGCTGATGTGTCGAGTGAGACACTGCAAGGAGACCAATTCTGTGCTATTTTGATGCTACGTATGCTATATAGAGCTTGCTGCAGTTGATGCTGCAGTTGAGATGTTTGCCTGTCACCGAAAGTTGAGAACAAAAAGCTGGGACCAAGTTGAATCATGAGTGACTTGACTTCAAACATTTACCCCAGGCTCCCTGGTCCGTGAGGCGAACAAAAATCACAATCAAGGGACCAGTCAGGCCCCAGAATGGAAGCACGACAGGGAGCATAGAGCATCAATCTAATGTACAGTAGGACTCGACTAGGGAGAGATGCAAGAAATTGATATTGGATATCGGAGCAATCTAATCTTGGGAATACGACAGACAGTTGAAGTGATGTGGCTTTACAGTACCTACAGAGAGCACATTCAGTGGCTGCATATCACTCCGTAACATGCCACCAGAGCCATATCCCAAACTCAGCCATGTCACGAGAACAGCTCAATCGTTTCATTTCCAATGATCTTTCGAGGACACTGGATCCAAGACCCCATGCTTCATGCACGGCAGAACAGACGCTGGAGCCGGGATACGCAAGCAAGAAATCAAAGACCCCTCCTCCGTCTCCCTCCAACAGAAGGCCAAGCATTTTTCCAAAAAGCTCCGCACCGAACAAAGCTCCACAGTCAAACAGGGGCAAACTCTGGCGGTTATGTCAGTGGCCAATGCCAACTCCCCAAAAAAGTCTAGTATCAAAAAAAAAAGGAAAAAAGAGGATTCCCATCGGCATCAGACGAGAAACATCGTCAGTCTTCTCGCTTATGCTAGAAATAACGCCAGAAAATGGATACCGATGCCTCGGTCCCCGAAAAAGAATAAGAAGTCCCAAGCTTCTGCTGTATGATGTTGCCACGGACACTGGTGGGGTTATTACTGAACTTTTTTTTTTTCTTCTCTCCGCCGTCTAAAGTTTTTAAGCGACAGCCGGAGTTGACGAGGACTAATTACTCAGTATCCGCAGTCTCGACGCAGAAACATCCAATGGAGAAGAAAATTTCTTGTAAAGCAAGCTAAGAGTGTTACGCGCCGTCTCGTGCCTGGATACCGAATTCTGTTGATAGTTACGTAGAAGAATTGACCGACAGTAGATGCTTGCAACACTTCACTTCGTTCTGGCGGTTAGACTTTTAGGCTCAACTCCAGATGCCTGTTAATGGGCAGTACCTTGAGACACACTGGCCTTTACGTCTTGTCGTCTTCAAAGTTCAATGCCATCTGCTGGTCCTTGCAGCTTTTCCCATTGTCAATCCAGTATCAACCTCAATCAGCCCCTCATTCCCCTCTTCTTCTCGAAAAGCACCTCCGTCATCAAAACTCTTTAGCGCCAGACCAATACTTTAGAGTCAAAATCTACTCATAGCGCAACTTCGCCATTGCCCAGTAAACGGCGCCCCTCTTGAGGATCTACCTCAGAGATTTTTACCAATGGCCGCCTCGGCATTACTCGTTACGACAATGAGCGTAACAAAAAAGCGGCACAGTCGAAATTAAGGTGGAAGCTTCTGCAGTATGAACACGTAAATACATTTGGGATATGGCTATGACTCTTGGGTGAGTCAACCTCCCCCGGGAAATCAGCAGCTCTGGAGATTATGCCATTGGCTGCGTTAGTTACACTCGCACACCCCCTTGTTCATTGATGACTCTTCCTGCCACGCATCCTAGCTGCCACGAAGCTTCAAACATGCTTCAGACTGGCATGTGAATTGGATCTCAGCTTACTGCAGACGCAGAAGAGAAACACTTCTCGATAAGGCATCTTCCGATTGAGCTCAGCTGGGAACAAATAACGACACAAACTAATCGTGATCGCTTGAACCTTACGATGCACCACTTCAAGTGACACCACTCAAGCAATTGGCTTACATCCTTGTTCTTGAGGCCAGAACAAACTCAAGCCTGAGGAAAAACCCAGCTCCACTCAACTTTTTTCTTCTCGATGGCGTGAAAGCTTCTGCATGGCCCGTGCAACACCCGCGCGCCAAAGCGCTTATCCTATCTAATCTTATCTTATCATCCGCCCCTCCAACCGTTTTCAGCCGTTGTCGTGCCAGCCAGCACGCCAAGGGAAACTGGAGTAAACACTGGACCTCCAACCAGGATTGTAACGTCAACGCTCCGTTTATGAATCCACCGTCCTAAACAAGTCTCGTCCACGATCCATTCTGTTCCTGCATCTTTGTTTAAGCGAAAAGCATATCATCGTGTCTAGCAGCATCATGGAGCGAAAAGCATCTCATAATCTGTTTGAGGTTTATCTACGGCTACGGCCCCCGCCTACGCGACATGGTGATGGCGATCGCATTCTTGATGTTGAGCCTGCTGAGGATGGTTCACATCCTAAGCATATTGTTCTGAACCCGCCTACAGATCGACGTAGGGCGATTGAGAAGTTCGCGTTCACTCAAGTTTTTGAGGAAGATGCAACCCAGCTCGATGTCTTTCATTGCACAGAGATCGTCCCCTTCGTTGAAGGCGTACTTGCGCCTGAGGGCGGCGAGGGAACAGATGCTGTCGTCGCTACCTTGGGAGTGACAGGTTCCGGCAAGGTGAGTACCATGTCAACAATGAAACAGGGAGACTAATAGACGAAGACACATACGATTCTCGGAAGTAAAACACAACGCGGCCTGACCCAACTCACGATGGACGTCCTCTTCCGCTCAATCGGCGAAAACATTCTCGATTCCAACGCCGCCTTCACAGCTCAAGACTCCCTTCAAGCCATCGACGGTGCCGAGTCCTCCCTTACAACCGCGTCCCACTTCTTCGACCCTCCCTTTCGCGACTCGGTTGCTTCACGAGCGCCCTCACGCGCCGGTACACCAATGCTTGTACGACAGACCCCAAAGCCTTCCTATGTCAACATTCCCGCCTCCAAGCTGGTCGCCAACCTCCCAGGCGCGTTCCCGGCAGACTGCGCACCAAGTCCGAAAAGTGTACGGCTTGTTAGCGAGGCAGAGGAAACGCGACGTCTCAAGGAGCGATAGGATCGTTCTTCTGAGCGTGGTAGAAGACCTCTCGAAAGCCTGCCTGCGTCTCCTAGCGCTCTAAACTGTCCCAAGACGCCCAAGCGGGGTCTTCGACATTTCATGTCTCTTACTACTTCAACCCGTGTAAAGAATGTTACTAAAGATGATGTCAAGCCCGATGGTGTTATGTCCCCACCACCTCGACGAATTACCGTACGCCCCTCGGCTCTTCCTCAGCTCCCCGATGTGAGCAACATCGACATTTCTTGCGATCCCTCGGCCGAATATGTTGTCATCATCTCGATGTACGAAGTGCACAATGACCGAATCTACGATCTCCTTACTCCCGCAGTCAAATCCGGTGCCACAAAAGAAGTGCGACGGCGTCCTTTACTCTTCAAGTCAACAGAGCTATCGCCAGACCGAAAGGTTGTCGCTGGCCTTCGAAAAGTCATCTGCTCTAATTATAACGAGGCATTGACCGTCATTGAGACCGGTCTGCAAGAGCGCCGTGTCACCGGAACCGGAAGCAACAGCGTTTCAAGCCGAAGTCATGGATTCTTTGTCTTTGAAGTAAAGAAGCGAACCCGCAGCAGAAGACCTGGCCCTTGGGAAGGAAACAGATTTACCATTGTTGATCTGGCGGGCAGTGAGCGTGCGCGCGAAGCCAAGACAGCGGGTGCCACTCTTGCAGAGGCTGGTAAGATCAACGAGAGTTTGATGTACCTAGGTCAATGTCTGCAGACACAGAGCGAGGCTGCTAGCTCCAGCAAGGTAAGTCATCGAAGTGATGTTGGACGGACAGCGACTAACTTGCAATAGCCCAACATCGTTCCTTTCAGACAATGCAAGCTCACTGAGCTCCTCTTCTCAAACTCATTCCCCTCATCCTCAACCTCTCACTCCCAAGCTCCTCGCCGTAACCCTCAAAGAGGGGTCATGATCGTCACCGCCGACCCTCGCGGCGACTTCAACGCCACATCTCAGATCCTTCGATACAGCGCCCTTGCCCGTGAAGTCACAGTCCCTCGCGTCCCCTCAATCACAACAACCATCCTCGCCCAACCACCACAAATGGCTCAAAATCGCTCCGTCAGCCCAACACATCCTCATCCACGACCATTCATGCCCGCAGGTGGAGGGTCGTATAGAAACTTCTCTCCACCAATGAGCTCAGATGAACGTGCGACAATGGAGATTGCAGCGCTTGAGATCGCGCGTCTTAGTGAGGAAGCGGATCAATTGCGTGAAGAGGTTGATCGTCAAAGTGAAGCACGAGTCGCAGCTGAAGCTCATCTTCTCACCATGGAGGACCGCATGCTTGATCTCGAAGCAGCAATTCGCGAAGAATGCGCCATGGAGTTTGAGCAACGTCTTGCACTAGAAATGGCCCGGTGGAAGAACTCCATGGCCATTGAGCAAGAACGCACTGAAGAGCACTGGGACCGCAAGGTCGAAGTTCTCGAGCGTGGTCTCGCCTCTGACGAAGATTGCGATAAAGAAAATGTTCTCATCGAAGATCTCGAAGAGGAAGTGGATCGCCTCCGTCGCGAAAATGGTATTCTCAAGCGTGAGCTCGCTTCCCGCAGCCCCACCAAGCGCAAGCCCCTCGAGGAACGGGAGGACTTTGCGCCTTCTTCCAAGTCAGCTCGCGGCGATAGCATGACCAATCTAGGACGCAAGCTGGAGCGTATGCGTGTTAGTGGTGAAAAAGCACGCCCGGTACCAGTCAATGGGAACGGCAGCCCAAAGAAGATGCGGAAGTTGGGGACGAAGAAGTGGGAGCATGAGGATGATGAGCTGGCTTAGTATGTCTAGCTGTGAGCGTGCTTCTTAGGGTCATGGGTGGGATGGAACGGGACGGTCGGTCGGTTTGTGTTATAGAACTGGTTCGGATTGGATGGGTCGGACGGATAATGGATGGAGTATACCCTTTGCGTAATGTCATGCAAGTTCATTCATAGCATCGTAATGCACTTCTTTGTTGTTCGTTTGTTGTACTTCTCAGTTCGTTCCATTGCATCAACAGGGACTTTCTTCTGGTATGTGACCCTGAATGGTGCCCCCCGATCCTTTTTCACCACCTTAAGCTGTACATATATACTACCTAGTGATGCATTCCTGAGAACATGATCCGTAGCATATCCGGATACCCATGGGAAATTTCGAGGCACCACACACTCCGTAGATATTTTGATCACCCTCTCTACTGTCTCGACAGCCACCTTCGCTCCTCGTTCCAGTATGAGATGCACGCATTCTGTCACCTGGCTGTTTGCTTCAACGAGGCTTCTCTCGATAATCCCAATACCTCCGGCAAGTAGCTCTTCCCATGCTGTCGTCCTGCGGAATTTACTTTTCTTGATCGCTTTATTTGGCTTCGCTCCTTTGTCGAGTAACAGTTTGATCACTGACGCGCTTCTTTTGTCTGGTAGAGGAAAGATGAGAAAACCCACGATCCTTGTCGATTAGTTATTGGGAGGAACGATCAGCTGGCGAAGATGTTCGAAACTTTCACCAGGTGAAGTGATGGTGTTCATTGGGGCAGAGATGGCGAAGTTCACAAACTTGGTGATGAACTTGATCCATTTGATCATCTGCTTGCCATCCACTGTTCCCTCATGCTGACGAAACTCGATCGTGTCATGCTTTTGTAGAGAAGTGAAGTTCACCTATGAAACAATTAGAAAAGGAGTCAATATAAAAAAGTCTCCAAGCGTACCTTGAAGAAGCGCGAATCATGGTAACCATCATAGTTTGTCTCACCAGGACAGTGGTTGACAAGCTTGCAGACATCCTCGATGCTGCCCGAAGCACCAATTCTGTCGTAGACTTGGGAAATGCTGAGATCCTTTAGGACAGGGTTCTGACGGTTGGACATGATGTACTCGTTCTCCTCGCTGCGGTGCGCAGTGAAACTCATCGATAGCAGCTACTCAAATCAGCACCGTGCAGAAGAAACAATAGCAAATGATTAATACCTTCAAAGCGACAGTAAAACATCGCGATCTTCTGGACTTCGACCAGGGAGTACTTGGTAGTGTCACCTTCACGTCCAACGTGGACATGAAGGCCAGTGCTTCGGTTTGCCTTCCAGCAAACAGCTTTCCCAACTGCATCAAGCCCAGCATGGAGTTGAGCCATCCAAGCATCATCTTGAATGTTTCGAAAGATGGGAGTGACGATTTCAAACCCAAAGCGTCGAAGAAACTTGGAGTTCTCAAACTCCGAGCCAGAGGTAAGTTCGCTCACAGTAACATCCATGGTAACATTCCAGATGCTGTAGTCAGGTCCAGCACCACGAGTGGACGAAGGCAGGTAGACGCGAGAAGAAAGACCGGCGCGGCGAAGACTTTCGACAATGATGAAGAGTTGCTTCTCCGATCCAGGAGGGAACTCGAGAGCAGAGTTGACTGGCTTCAGAGCCACACCTTCGATTTCCAGGCCAATAGAAAGAGGCATGATTCAATGTTGGATGAGTGTCCAGAGAAAAGCAAGAAGTCGTGTCGTTTCAGTGAGTAAGTAAGTAAGTGTTCAGATCAGGAGTGAGAACGGAAACATCTATCTCTCATATAGATATCTCAGACAACGCAAACAGCTATAATCAATGCTATAATTGCTTGCATATGTAGTAAGTTATTGTTAGACCTATTCTTCTCACCAAGTTCGACATGACAATAGGCCATCTGGATATTATGACCAATGTGATGATGATAATAATAATAATACACGTTCAAAACACATTGTATAACAACTGGATCTATTGTTTGCGTAGTGCCTTAAACAACAATTGAAACTAATTCTTTGCTTAGAGCTTTTTTTCCATATCCTCCAGGCCCGAGTAACCCCCTCTGCTATGTATCATAATACCATAAAAAAACTCTTGCAATGGGCAATATGAACAAAGGGCTCTCGCTGAGGTAGATCGAGGGTACGATTGGCTATGTTACTTCATACCAGAACTACAGTTACAATCTTAGGTATTTATATGCCAGTGTTCACAGCATCGTGCACAGGTTATCGAGCATAAATGTAAGGCAAGCAGGGGTAAGACTAGGACTGTGTCAGTTCTTTTACCACTCTTACTTCTCTTTTTATTTTTGAAATACTATTTTGCAGTTCTATAGTAGATAAGAAAGCTATATATAATTTTCTAGCAGTGTTATATACTTAAAGGGTATTTAACTTTTATTTCTTCTGGCCTTGGTTTACTATAGTTAAAACTGCCAGGTATACTATTAGTGATATATCTTGATAGGATATTATAAGCTTTAACCATTAATTAGTATACTATTAGTAAATTAATTTGCTACCTAGGCATTAGCAACGTTAAATACGTGCAACTAACCGATTGTGGCAGATAAACCTTTAGATTTTAAATTTTGTAATAATGCCTTTCTATAGAGAAGCTAAAAAAAAAATAGCCTTACATAAGGATCCAGTGGATTATATCAAGAATAAAAGAAAAATAAACTCTGGAGTTTATTGATTGATAACATAAATCTCACCACTGGAGTTTCGCACCAAGAATATAGACTTTTGTTTCTGGCACGCTGCGAACCATAAAGCGGGTGGCCAACTTCTGTCTAGGTATTTAATACAGCTTTGCCCCGGTTTGCCTGCTCGTACTTTTCCTTCCTTACACACACATACACACACACACACACACTATCAAAAGTTTTGATCACTATGGCCGCTTCTTATCAACCACGACCTCTCTTTGTGTACGGCACGCTTCGGGCGCTGCCCTTGCTTGCTTGGGCGTTGACGGGAGATGCCACAAAGATAAGCACTGTAGAGCCCTTTATGCATCCTGCTAAGGTCTCCGGTTATGCTAGGTATACCGTCAATTATCGTGATTATCCTGCAGTCATTAAGAAGGATAATCATGAGGTTGACGGGTTTATACTTCTCTTAGAAACTAAATCGCAGCGGAAGAAGCTAGACGACTTTGAGGGCGATCTCTATACCCCTACGGCTATCCTTGCGACCCTTGATGACGGAACTACCATGGAAGCAGACATCTATCTCTGGGGTGGTGATTTTGAGGCCCTCTCTACGGAGCCTTGGGAGCTGGACACTTTCATTAAGGAAAGACTTGAGGATTGGCTAGACCTCTTTGAAGGCATGGAGTTAGTTGGGGAATCCGACACAGAATAAGGTGCTGACAGACTGACGGTTGAGTCATGGATCGAACGTCATTTGCTGGCTCGGAAACTAAGGACCCGAATGTAGCAAGTTCAGCCATGGCGAAGAACATGCGATAGAGTTCAAGATGATACGATTGAAAGTGTCACGACTCTTTACATTCATAAATCAATCTTCATTGCGGCCGATTTCGGACAAAGGTGTTCGCTTATTTGTCCTATTATTCTCTAATGCCTCATGGTGTCTGTGTTTTCAGCTGTTGCGGAAGCAGGCTGTACAGACATGGCGGTGTCAATTGATTCGGCAGGCATCAGGTGGCTTGCACGGGTGAATTCTCGACTCAAATGGCCCAATGGCTACTGAGGAGAAAAATGTTACTATTTTGCGATTGGGAATGTGGTTCGCCTTATGTCGATATTTTGTGGTTGTGTCAAAAGATGGCCAAGAGAGTCGAAGTGGATTGCGCTAGGTTCTATAAATCTGTCGCAACAGCAGGAGCTGGGCAGGAGGCCATGATGAGAGGGAGCAAGATGAAACAAAGGGGGCATTCTTCATACAAGGCACGCGATGAGGCACGAAATTTCCGCTATTATCAAGTCGCCTTGGCCCATCAACGACTTCGTTAGCTATAACATGTTCAGTCCGATATCCCAATATGGTCTGCAGTCACAAATACGGATCAAGTTAATGTGCGGTACCTGGCGATCATGGGCGGGAAGCGGATGCGCGGGTTTAGAGCGGCTACTAAGTTAGTAGAGGACCCTGGATCTTTCACACACTGGACAGCCTTCATTATTCATGACATGGCTGGGAAAGCGATAAACTCAAAGTCGAAGAGAAATCAACAAGATCACCATTATACGCAGAAAGGTTGCGATAATGTGAAATGCATCTTCAGTCTTGCAGTGTGCCACGTGATCGGCACTCAATGGCGACCATAAAACGCAGGCAGCGGAAGGATGCTGCTTACAAGGTAAATCCCGTTCTTGAATCGTTAGCGAGCGCTTATTGGCCCAAGAATTACAATACGACGACGATAGTAAGCTTGGTTTGCGACACGTTTGGCTGGCGATACGCCTTACAGCTGCCGAGAGTAGCACCGCCTCAATGTGAAACGTAATAGCTGCTGCACGCTGTTTCCAACATCGCCAACCGTGCGCACTACAGCTACATTGTGGTGTCAACTACATCGCGCTGTTGTCCTGCTCGCCTATTCCTATGTCTGTTGGTAGCAGTTCTGTAACAGATCAACGGACCCTCGGAGCCGGTGTGAGCCCGTGAACCTCTGCCCGGCCGGGATCCCCGGAGACTGATCCACCATAAAACCACCAGGGTTCAGTATCAGCACTTAATCTAAGCACACAGACTTCAATACTACGAGGTTAGTAAAGCCAAAAGACAAGGCCAAATTACGGCATTAAATACGGTTACATTATGCACTCGTGTAACGGCCGTACGTAAAGTAAATTCCCAATCTTGCATTTGTAGGTCAGAGGCGTTTGGGTCACCGCACAGTGTTAGTCCAATGCCCAGATGAGGGGCTACCGCTGATGCCTGGCGAAACGTGGAGAAGAATGCTGTCTGCGACACTGTTTGAATATCGTCAGCGCTGCACTGTTGCTTTTCCAGCTGAGACTGGACGTTGGTCGCATGACTTGATGATCCATCCCATTCCGTTCCTCCATCTTTCCTTTTCTTCTCTCAACAACACACAAGCTTCTTTTCATATCGTCGTTTTCTCTCTCGATCGCGAGGCCTATGAGAAGCGAACAGACTCCCAGCATCCCCTGAACGCCAAGATCGAACTGTGCGTCGCGAGAGTGGGATACCTGTCGTCATTTTTATAGCGAAGAACCCGCCCTCGAGACAGAGGATCCGCCGCCGTCATTCCTCAGCGCTTGCGCACGGCAGATCAATTCTCACTCCTGTTTCTCTTCCCTTTTTCTCCCTTTGTATCACCACCGTCAAGGGATTAAAATCGCATCGTGTCCCTCCTTGTGCCCCCGGTTATCTCTGCATCTCTTATCGCTTTTGCCTCAGATCTTTCTCGATATGACGTGGGAACTCAACCAGAGGCGGTTCATCCGCTCCATCAATTCGAAGTACATCTACGGTCGCATCGTAAGTCGAAGCTCACTCACCCACGCCCTGTTTTTCCCAACTCTATGATCCGTCGCCACTTTAGCTTCCCCAGTATTTTCCCCAACTACTGTCCAGCTCTATCGTCATCGCTACAAGCTCTTTTTTCGCTTGTTCATGATATCACTTTGCGCACTTCTCTACTTTTTTTTCGTTGCTTCTTTCATCTCTTTTTTAATCTCCTTGTCCTTTCTTCTTTGTGCTGTTAGGCCTTATTTGTGCGACTCAACGCTGACGACATCATCACCAGCCTCTTCTGCATACCATCGTATTCTTAATCGAAATGGCATTCATCGCACGACTTACAGCTCGATTCAACTCGTACTATGACGAGCGACCACGTACGCTACAATAAATACCTCTCGCCCGATGCGATATAACTGACACCTTCCAGTCATGACCATGATGGTCACCAACGCCATCCTCGGAGGCGTCGCCGACACAGTCGCTCAATCCATCACCGCCATTCGCGAACGAGCTCTTCGTCAGCCGGGCGGTCTTAAGAAGAACGACGGCATCGCTATTGAGATCCACGAGCTCGACCGCAAGAACCCCTTCTACGATCGCGACCTGATCCCCGACTCGGTCGGCCTTCCTCCACCTTTCGACTTTGAACGCCTCACGCGCTTCATGGCATACGGTTTCTGCATGGCTCCCGTGCAGTTTAAGTGGTTCCGCTTCCTCGAGCGAGTCTTCCCCGTCACCAAGACCAGCGCTTTCGTCCCCGCAATGAAGCGCGTTGCTTTCGATCAGCTTATCTTTGCGCCGTTCGGTTTGGCTGTGTTCTACACCACCATGACTATCGCTGAGGGTGGTGGCCGTCGCGCCGTTTCGAACAAGCTTCGAGATATGTACATTCCAACTCTCAAGGCCAACTATGTTGTTTGGCCTGCTGTGCAGATTGTCAACTTCCGCTTGATGCCTGTTCAGTTCCAACTGGTACGTCATTTTTTTGCGCCCCAGAAAACCATGATCGCTAACATGCTTGCAGCCTTTTGTGTCAACAATTGGTATTGCTTGGACAGCATACCTATCCTTGACAAACTCAGCATCTGACTAAGTTCATTATATGATGCCTGGTGAACGTTATCAATTGGCCTCGAGCTGGTTGATCGATGATGAACATTAAATTGCGTCGACTGTTACTGTTTCAGCCGTCACATAGAAACGGCGTTTGGGGTTTTTTACATATACTGCACGATTTGGCATGCTGTGGGACCTACAATGGAGAGTTTGAGACTCTGACCCTTTTGCGGCAATTGCCTTGCACGGCCTTCTTTTATGGGTTGGGTTGGGTTGGGTTGGGATACGGACCATGTTTAGAATAACAACGTGAGTCTCGTTTGGAGTATCGGTAGATTTTTACAATGTCAAGACGAAGTGTGTCTTTTTTGTCTTTGACACTTGAGACCCTGTTCAAAGCCGTGTGTATCGAATCTGAAAGCAGCATTCTATCCAGTTAGGAAACGGGTTGATCGTGGATGAACGTGAATCGGGTGTCCGGGTAATAATCATGATATGACATCGAGTAATCCTTTTGAATTGTAGGGCTGACGGGTAGGAAGTGATCTCGGCCGTTAAGTGAGCGTGTAGGTTAAATGAAGATTGCAAGGGAACCCAGCAAGGTGTGAAGCGTGGTACGGTCTGTCTTGATATAATTCACCGAGACCATCCAGTGGTCTGAGAATTTGTGGCAATGCTTTTCAAGCTTTGATACCCATAGATTTAACAGTAATGAGAACGTGTCAAATCGAATTTCGCTATCAGATCAGCTAATCGATATTGTTTCAACATGGGCTTCTTTCAGCTTCTACCCCCGCTAGCTTAGACCTCATATCATGCATGGATGCATCTTGGTGTCGCAATTCATTACATACAAATGTTCAACAGGGTAACTGTACGTAAAAGGCGTGGTTCTCGGCGGTGTAGTTACGGCCCGTGTCTGTCCGGGGCTGCCGCATCCGCATCGCCAGAAGCCGGAGGGCGATGCCCGTAACCCGGCGATGTTGACGGCTGCATGGGCTGAGTGTTCAGGGTAGGCTGCTTGAGAGACGATGAAGTGAAGGGGTGAGTGAGTGATTTGACAAGTGGACCGACCGAGACGAGACCGATCATGTCATATCATGAATAGAGGAATAGGCAATAGTCCACTGACAAGTCGGCATCTCACGCCAGACTCATGGCTAAAGTGTTTGCTCCAGGGGCATTCACGGGCCTCATCATCCCACCATCTGCGAGTGCAGCCGCGAAAGCCCCGCCAACGCCAGCGGCAGCGTCATCGCGTTGAGAAGATTGACCCCCACCTTGATCTTAGCAGTGCTATTTACTACCTGACGCTCCCCTCCATAAACTCTCTTCTTCCCTTCTTCTCCTCGACATCACCCTTTGACCTACATCCCCATTCACTCGTACTTCGCATCGAAATCATGTCGCTGTCTAACAAGCTCTCCATCACTGACGTTGACGTCAAGGGCAAGAGAGTCCTCATTCGAGTAAGTTGGCGAGGAAAAAATGCCCCGCGATGGAATGAAGCTGTTGAGCTTGGTTGAGCTCCCCGCATCATATCATCAGATGTCACGAACAATTGATCGAAGGAATTGCACGAGATGCACCTCGATCAATTACGTGACCAGCTCTTGATTAAGCTATAGCCATCAAGCTCAACGGTTCAAACGTCTCTCCCAAAAAGCCTCAACAATACCCCGCCATCTCAAACTCTAGCTAACAAAACCCCTCTCAGGTCGACTTCAACGTCCCCCTCGACGCCGACAAGAACATCACCAACAACCAGCGAATTGTCGGTGCCCTCCCCACCATCAAGTACGCCCTCGAGAATGGCGCCAAGTCCGTCATCTTGATGTCCCATCTCGGCCGCCCCAACGGCTCTCCCAACGAGAAGTACTCTCTCAAGCCCGTTGTCCCCGAGCTCGAGAAGCTTCTCGGCAAGAAGGTCACCTTCGCCCCCGACTGTGTCGGCCCCGAGGTCGAGGAGATTGTCAACAAGGCTGAGGATGGTGCCGTCATCCTCCTCGAGAACCTCCGATTCCACATTGAGGAGGAGGGCTCTTCCAAGGATAAGGAGGGCAACAAGACCAAGGCCGACAAGGCTCAGGTTGAGGCTTTCCGCAAGGGTCTGACTGCCCTTGGTGACGTCTACATCAGTGAGTCTCTAATCGAACAACAACCCCACGCTACGTGATGCTAACAAGAACAGACGACGCTTTCGGCACTGCTCACCGTGCTCACTCCTCCATGGTCGGTGTCGACCTCCCCCAGAAGGCCTCCGGTTTCCTCGTCAAGAAGGAGCTCGAGTACTTCGCCAAGGCTCTCGAGGAGCCCCAGCGTCCTTTCCTCGCCATCCTCGGTGGTGCCAAGGTCTCCGACAAGATCCAGCTCATCGACAACCTCCTTGACAAGGTCAACACCCTGATCATCTGCGGTGGTATGGCTTTCACCTTCAAGAAGACCCTCGAGGGTGTCTCTATCGGTAACTCCCTCTTCGACGAGGCTGGCTCCAAGACCGTCGGCAACCTCGTTGAGAAGGCCAAGGCCAAGGGTGTCAAGCTCGTCCTCCCCGTTGACTACATCACCGCCGACAAGTTTGACAAGGACGCCAACACTGGCTACGCCACCGACAAGGACGGCATCCCCGACGGCTGGCAGGGTCTTGACTGCGGCGAGGAGTCCGTCAAGCTCTACAAGGAGGCCATCGCCGAGGCCAAGACCATCCTCTGGAACGGTCCCGCCGGTGTCTTTGAGTTCGAGAAGTTTGCCAGCGGCACCAAGGCCACCCTCGACGCCGTCGTCGACGCTGTCCAGAAGGACGGCAAGATCGTTATCATCGGAGGTGGTGACACCGCCACCGTCGCCAAGAAGTACGGCGTCGAGGACAAGCTCAGCCACGTCTCCACCGGTGGTGGTGCCAGCTTGGAGCTCCTCGAGGGCAAGGAGCTGCCCGGTGTTACCGCTCTGTCGAGTAAGTAAATAATATCCACACCTGTTGGAGTACGATGTCTATGAGAACCTGTTGATGACGGGCTATGAAAATGGAAAAAGGTCGGGCGGGAAGGGCTAGTCTGTAGCAAAGACTGAACAGATCAAATAATTAAATACCAAATACCAATAGAGGCGCGAAAGCGCTATAGAAACATTACCTACCATTGAAGCAGTTCCGATTGGTGTACTCGTGGGAAGGCCTTGATGGTGGAATCTGAAGTTTGCAAATGCAGATGTTTGAGATGGCTGCAAATGGCCAGATCGTACAAGCTCGTGTTGTTTCGTGAAGAAGAATGAAACAAAGATTCTGCAGCCAGACCGATTATGTTTGCCGTTCTGGGAAACCATTCCAACATCCTACGGTCGTACATAGACCAGTGTCGGTGTGAAGTCCCGATCTACAGGTTGAGGTTCCCAATCCCTGAGGGATAAGGCCAAAAAGACACCAACAAGAGCTTACTTATTCCACCGTGAATCTGTCCCGATATTTCTGTCACCAAGCAAGCATTGGTGGTGGATACGTCGTTCAACACAAGCTGACACAGCCATAGCCCATTCAAAACGTTCAAAGATGCTTCATGGCGCTTTCGCGCGCCTCTATTGGTATTTAATTATTTCATCTGATCTGTCTTTTCCACAGACTCGCCCATCCCAATCTATAATTCGGTTCGAATCGCGGTATCGTCACAACATAACTCTATCGGCGTTTAGCAGCCTCGACCTTCTTCAATTCCTCGCTATGTAGATATTAGCCCCGTTTAAACAGTGTTCTTAGGTATTGTACGCACCGAAGTTGTTGCGAGAAGTCGTCGCTCGTGTCGTCGTCGTCCCAGCTCTCTTCCCAGAGATGCTTTGTCTCGCCGCTGCCCTTTGCAGCCTCGGTCTGATCCTCTGGCCAGTCTAAACGTCATTAGCACTCAATGTCAACCTTGAAGTGCTGGTGGTGGGAGTGGTACCTTCGACAGGGAAGTCCTCGAACTCGTCGTCCTCGCCGAGAGCGGCGGGCTTCTGCTCTGGCTTCTGCTCAGCGGGCTTGTCGTCTGTGGTCTTGGGATCTGTGGATGCCATGATGGATCGAGGCGGATGTGTGATGTGTGATGCGGTGCTTCGATTTGATGGGAGGGAGAGCGATTGCGGTTGTTGATGGAGCTGGAGCTGGCTTGAGAGGCTATGGAGAGCTTGATGATGATGCGGTAGCTGGAGCCTTGTGGGCGAGGCGGGAAGGTGGGGCTCAACGGAAGAATGATCGACCGTTGTTAGAACTGCAAAAGAGGATCACCCTGACATTCAATGGCAGACATGAGGATGAGGCAGGAATATCTGAACATAGAGAGGTAAGAGAAGTATTTGTTATTTTGTATTATCCTGTGACCGATCTATGTTGTGAAGTAATACTCCGGGTCTTGATGATCATTCGCTGGCATGAAGCTCTGGCGCTGTTCAATCACTCGCAATGGATTTTAGTACTTCAGAGTACTTCAACTCGAATTCTTGGGATGATAGCGGCAAAAGAAATAAATAGATTACATTATAAAAATAAGTAAATGAATGAGATAAAACATGAAGTCATAATCTGGAGACCAAATCTCCAAAAGGAAACCCGCGAGGGTTGTTGGATGTTTGCGACCGAGGGGAATCGAACCCCTCTCTAACGCTTGGAAGGCGTTAATGCTAACCACTACACCACGGTCGCTTGTTGGTTGTTGAAAGACGAGTTAGTGTCTAAACTTATATTCACAGCCAACGAAGCGGTAGATTAAACTTGACGTCGAAAAGAAATCGCGAAACCTCGACCTATTGAGTTATAAATGAGACTAATCTTGGCTTAAGGAAGCTAGAGTGAGGTTTTATCTTGGAAATATCTAACACCTATGTAAATGAGACCCATATCTGGCCAAACGGGCAGAAAGACAACCACCAACATGATCCTATGGAGGCGCCATTATCAACCACTGGCCATCAAAACCCTCGAACTCCTCCTCGATAAGCCGCGACGTACTCTCCCACGGCACTTTGAATGCTCCCGAGTTAAACATTGGGGAGTAAATCACCGGCGTAGCCTCA